GTTTATCTTGTAGCTTACTCTCTCTCTGCAGCGATGCACCTCCCCTCCCAAGCTAGTCACATGACTGAGCTAACCTTCCCTTATTAATGTCTCCAGAGACTTATTGCAAGCACTATGCTGAAGCTGTGTGTATATACCCCTGTGTACATTCATTTGCCTTTGCACGTATGCTGTGGCTGTGGTGTGTGTGGGCAGGAGGAGGAAGTGTCAGGGGGTCTAGTTGTGTATGACTCATCTCACCAGCGGACGGCAGATGTCCTGTAACTCCCTCCACCGACCTTCTCCTTCCTTCCCTCTCCTCCTCCCCTGTCTTCTTACTGTCAGCATGGAGCATCACACACCACTGCTGGAGGACCACATGCCTAAATGCCATCCAGTACACCCCAGAGACCAGATTCAGGATTAATTCCAGTGGTGCACTTTAACAAATCCCGCTTGTTAATGCAGTTACAGCACCATAATGGCCGACTGGTATTTTAGCCATACATACTAGAGCCACACACCATCTTCTAAAACCTAATGTTTCATTCCCCTTTGCTGTATCTATAACGTCGTTGGTTAGAGGCATTAGCCCTCTGTGTTGCTGCCTCCACTACTACCATGGTAGTGAAGAGAATGAGTGGTTAGGGGAGAAAGAGAGACTTGATAGAGGGGTATAGAAGGAGAGGAGACAGGAGAAGATAGATTTAGAGGCTGACTAAGGGGAAAAGAGATGAAGGAAAGGGGAGAAAGAAGGGGGAAAATAGATATTTGTCTGACAGAGAAAAGCAAGAGAATGAGATCGAAGGGATGATGAAGCTGATCAATAAGATGGAATGGTAGAATGAGAGGAGCGAGCTAGAGCCTCTGATTGTTAGAGGGAGAGGCATTGGAGGAGCGAGAGGAGCTGACCAAGGAGAAGAGGAGCTGACCAAGGAGGAGAGGAGCTGACCAAGGAGCGAGAGGAGCTGACCAAGGAGCGAGAGGAGCTGACCAAGGAGCGAGAGGAGAGGCGCTGACTGGGGAGAGGAGAATAGAGGAAAAAGGAACAAGTCTGGCTGATTAGGAGGGGGGAAGATGTGGAAGGTTATCTAACCAAGATGAGAGGAAGGAGGAAACGCAATGGAGAAGCAAGTGAATAGACAAGTTATATCCACTGAACAAAAAATATAAACGCAACATGTAAAGTGTTGGTCCCATGTTTCATGAGCTAAAATAAAAAGATCCCAGACATTTCCATACACACACAAAGCTTATTTCTGTCACACATTTTGCACATTTGTTCATTTCTCTACCATAATGTCGTTTTGGAGAATTTGGCAGTACATCCAACCGGCCTCAACCGCAGACCATGTGTAACCACTCCAGCCCAGGACCTCAACATCCGGCTTCTTCACCTAAGGGATCGGCTGAGACCAGCCACCCGGTTTGTGCATGAAACTGTGGGTTTGCACAACCAAAGAACTTCTGCATAAATTGTCAGACACAGTCTCAGGGAAGCTCATCTGCGTGCTCGTCGACCTCACTATGGTCTTGACCTGACTGCAGTTCGGCGTCGTAACCGACTTCAGTGCTCACCTTCGATGGCCACTGGCACGCTAGAGAAGTGTGCTCTTCGCGGATGAATCCCAGTTTCAACTGTACCGGGCAGATGGCAGACAGCGTGTATGGCGTCGTGTGGGCGAGCGGTTTGCTGATGTCAACGTTGTGAACAGAGTGCCCCCTAATGGCGGTGGTGTTATGGTATAGGCAGGCATAAGCTATGGACAACAAACACAATTGCATTTTATCGATGGCGATTTGAATGAGATACTGTGACGAGATCCTGAGGCCCATTGTCGTTCCATTCATCCGCCGCCATCGCCTCATGTTTCAGCATGATTGCGCTTCTGAGCATGGCACCCGATGAGCATGTTTGGGATGCTCTGGATCGATGTGTAAGACAGCTTTTTACAGTTCCCGTCAATATACAGCAACTTCGCACAGCCGTTGAAGAGTGGGACAACATTCCACAGGCCACACTCAACAGCCTAATCAACCCTATGCGAATGAGATGTCGTGCTGCATGAGGCAAATGGTGCTCATACCAGATACTGACTGGTTTTCTGATCCACGCCCCTACCTTTAAAAAAAAAAAAAGTTATCTGTGACCAACAGATGCATATCTGTATTCACAGTCGTGTGAAATCCATAGATTAGGGCCTAATTCATTAATTTAAATTGGCTGATTTCCTTATTTGAACTGTAACTCAGTAAAATCTTTGGAATTGTATTTATTTTTGTTCAGTGTATTAGTAAGAGGGAGAGAAGGAGAGGAGATAAGTGAGAGAAGGAGAGGAGATAAGTGAGAGAAGGAGAGGAGATAAGTGAGAGAAGGAGAGGAGACAGTGAGGGGTAAAAGGATTTGATCCCCTGCTGATTTTGTACGTTTGCCCACTGACAAAGACATGATCAGTCTATATTTTTAATGGTAGGTTTATTTGTACAGTGAGAGACAGAATAACAACAAGAAAATCCAGAAAAACTAATGTCAAAAATGTTATGAATTGATTTGCATTTTAATGAGGGAAATAAGTATTTGACCCCTCTGCAAAACGTGACATAGTACATGGTGGCAAAACCCTTGTTGGCAATCACAGAGATCAGACGTTTCTTGTAGTTGGCCACCAGGTTTTCACCCATCTCAGGAGGGATTTTGTCCCACTCCTCTTTGCAGATCTTCTCCAAGTCATTAAGGTTTCGAGGCCTGACGTTTGGCAACTCAAACCTTCAGCTCCCTCCACAGATTTTCTATGGGATTAAGGTCTGGAGACTGGCTAGGCCACTCCAGGACCTTAATGTGCTTCTTCTTGAGCCACTCCTTTGTTGCCTTGGCCGTGTGTTTTGGGTCATTGTCATGCTGGAATACCCATCCACAACCCATTTTCAATGCCCTGGCTGAGGGAAGGAGGTTCTCACCCAAGATTTGACGGTACATGGCCCCGTCCATCGTCCCTTTGATGCGGTGAAGTTGTCCTGTCCCCTTAGCAGAAAAACACCCCCAAAGCACAATGTTTCCACCTCCATGTTTGACGGTGGGGATGGTGTTCTTGGGGTCATAGGCAGCATTCCTCCTCCTCCAAACACGGCGAGTTGAGTTGATGCCAAAGACCTCAATTTTGGTTTCATCTGACCACAACACTTTCACCCAGTTCTCCTCTGAATCATTCAGATGTTCATTGGCAAACTTCAGACGGGCATGTATATGTGCTTTCTTGAGCAGGGGGAACCTTGCGGGCGCTGCAGGATTTCAGTCCTTCACGGCGTAGTGTGTTACCAATTGTTTTCTTGGTGACTATGGTCCCAGCTGCCTTGAGATCATTGACAAGATCCTCCCGTGTAGTTCTGGGCTGATTCCTCACCGTTCTCATGATCATTGCAACTCCACGAGGTGAGATCTTGCATGGAGCCCCAGGCCGAGGGAGATTGACAGTTCTTTTGTGTTTCTTCCATTTGCGAATAATCGCACCAACTGTTGTCACCTTCTCACCAAGCTGCTTGGCGATGGTCTTGTAGCCCATTCCAGCCTTGTGTAGGTCTAGAATCTTGTCCCTGACATCCTTGGAGAGCTCTTTGGTCTTTGGAGAGTTTGGAATCAGATTGATTGATTGCTTCTGTGGACAGGTGTCTTTTATACAGGTAACAAACTGAGATTAGGAGCACTCCCTTTAAGAGTGTGCTCCTAATCTCAGCTCGTTACCTGTATAAAAGACACCTGGGAGCCAGAAATCTTTCTGATTGAGAGGGGGTCAAATACTTATTTCCCTCATTAAAATGCAAAAATCAATTTATAACATTTTTGACATGTGTTTTTCTGGATTTTTTTGTTGTTGTTCTGTCTCTCACTGTTCAAATAAACCTACCATTAAAATTATAGACTGATCATTTCTTTGTCAGTGGGCAAACGTACAAAATCAGCAGGGGATCAAATACTTTTTTCCCTCGAAGAGGAGATAAGTGATAGAGGAGAAAGAGGGAGAGGAGTGTGAGTAGAGCAGATGGCTCCAGCCGGTGGCGTCCAGCCAGAGGAACAGGTGCGGGTCACGTGACCGCTGGTTACCAGGGCGATGTGATTGCTCTTGGCGTGCAAATGAAAGGAGAGGGGGCCCTAGAGTAGAGCAAGGGAGTGAGCGAAGGAGAGAGGGGGGTTGACTGCCCGCCCTCAGGGCTTTGTGTAATCTGTGGCAGGGAGGGCAGAAGCGGAGCGGTCTCTCTCTCTCGCTCTCTCTCTCTGTGTGTGTGTGTGGAAAGACACACTGCTCTCCTTCCTTCCCTCCCTCCTCTTCCCTTCTCTAGCCATTCATGTTTCAACCGTCCGTCATCCAGCCTCAAGGAAATTAATTAACCTCGAACTGTTAGTTTAAAACATGGCGTCTCCAAGATGGTTACTAGAAATACCACGACTTCCATCGTATTGTGTATCGAACATCAACTTTGAAACCACAGGTTTAACTTGCTAAATGCTGTTGTGTACAAATGATTTGTTGATTGTTCCAACAGTCATCAAAATGGTTTCCACTGGTGTCTACGGTAGGTTCTCATGCTATGGAAGAAGTCTATATAGTGGGAGCAGATGATGACGAGTAATTCATGAGTTTAGAGATTGTGGTGTAAAGTTAACTATACTTTAGGCCAGTGTATCCCAACTCCAGTCCTTGAGTACAAAAATGTATGCTGTTGAGGGTACCCGAGGACTGGAGTTGGGAAACACAGTTTTAAGCATGGTTGACTTCATACTATCAGAGACGCAGACAACCAAAAGCTGACCGCAATACCTGTTTAAGATGGTGATGATGACATGAGATGGTGTTCAGACTCAAACACTCATCCTTCTCTCAATATTCTCCACCACCTCTTTCATATCAATCTCTCGTTCATCCTTCTCCTCCTAATCCCTCCTTCCTCTTCTGACGCTCCTCTTTCATTCTCATCCCACCTTCCTCTTCTCCTCCTAATCCCTCTCTCCCTCTCCTGCCTCCAGCAGCACTAAGAAGGTGGAGTCAGCGGAGTGCAGTGGCAGCAGTGTGACAGAGACCAAGAGGAAGAGGGAGCCCTCGGTCAGCTTCGATGTGGAGAAGTCACCCCCAGCCCCCTCCGATGAGGACGACGACAGTGTCCAGGTACACACACACACACACACCGTAACGTTGCAGTGGCACACAAACACAGTAACATCAGTTGTGCGCTAACCTAACGTAGCAGGTGTAAAATAAATGCCTGAAACTGGATCCTGTACATACTGGTCTTAACCTCCTAACATTTCTTTTTTCTCTATCTCCTGCACTGTTCAACCAATTCAGTAAATGTGGAGGAGGAGTTAAGACTGAGTGTCGCCTTGTTAACGTCCAAAAGCTAAAGTTGTGTCACAGGCTCTCTTTCCATTACCCCTGACAACCAGAACATCCGGTTGTTGGGGACTCTGCAGAGGCTAGTTGTAAAACACACACTTTCCAAATGAAATGCAAAACAGTGGTCCAATGTTGACATGAGACTAAGGGTGGTGTGTTGACATGAGACTAAGGGTGGTGTGTTGACATGAGACTAAGGGTGGTGTGTTGACATGAGACTAAGGGTGGTGTGTTGACATGAGACTAAGGGTGGTGTGTTGACATGAGACTAAGGGTGGTGTGTTGACATGAGACTAAGGGTGGTGTGTTGACATGAGACTAAGGGTGGTGTGTTGACATGAGACTAAGGGTGGTGTGTTGACATGAGACTAAGGGTGGTGTGTTGACATGAGACTAAGGGTGGTGTGTTGACATGAGACTAAGGGTGGTGTGTTGACATGAGACTAAGGGTGGTGTGTTGACATGAGACTAAGGGTGGTGTGTTGACATGAGACTAAGGGTGGTGTGTTGACATGAGACTAAGGGTGGTGTGTTGACATGAGACTAAGGGTGGTGTGTTGACATGAGACTAAGGGTGGTGTGTTGACAATACAAACAAGCAGCACTGTTATACAAATACCCCCTATTACTGTTAATCATGGTAGCTAGTGGCATTTATTGTAGAACAAGTTTGGGATTAAACTGTTCAGCACTACAGAACGCTCAAATAGAAACGTATTGCTCAGAACAGATATTACACATTCAGAAATTCTTAACCCGCTCTATAGATTACAATTCTATCTGCCACATTCTAAACCCTCTCAGAAGCTTATGAATACGCCGCCATGTTAATTTATTGACTTAAATCTGGTCTTAATATGGTTTTATTAATACAGCCATACAAAAGTAGTGCACTATATAGGGAATAGGGTGCAGATTGAGACGCAATCTGACTGTAGTGTCTACCGGCATTCTTGTGTTAAATTATGGACTGGTCCTGGTATTTTTTAGGAGTCAATTCAATCAAAATATCGTGACACACGCTCTCCTCCACTCTGATGCAGGCATATGGGAGCTGTTAGCAGCAAATTACTTCACCAACCCAAATATCCAGGTTACCCAACCGGCTGGCACTGAGGCATTGCCCAATTCTCATCACTCTTAAACAGTAGGCACTGCCTGACCGATGTAATACCATGATTGGTTTAGCCCTTTAGAACAGACCGAGAGGGCTGCCTGCCCTGCGCTAGAGACCGGTTGTATGGCTGGCTCCCTAGGTTAGACTGGGCTGTAGATTGTGGGGGTTGTGGGAGTGATGTGATTTTTCCTGATTTAAAATGAATCTGTAGACTTTTCTCCTGTGATTTTTTATTATCAATAACATACCTGGGTCATGTTCGTTAAACACGAAACAGAAGAAAACTGGGAGGCACTGTCTGTACTTGTCCAAAAAGAAACACTCATTTTTGTTTGTGTGCATGGCCTAAAATTAACACCTGCCAAATGCAGGTCGATTTTGACTTTGGCAGGTAAGATTTTACCAGCCATGTTGGCGGGTGGTTAGGGTTCCACAGTGTGAGCATTTCACTCACATTTGTGAATAAAAAGTATTATGTTCAAAGTATTTCTGCTGTCTTGTTTCATTGCTGGTAAATTAATGACACAAAGTCAAAGAACTATGAATCCTATAGCTTATCCCACCTCGCTCTGCAACACTAACTGGCTGGGGGCTGTGCGCACGTGAAGAGCTGAGTGAAAGATTTGTTTTTAGAAGTGCTGCGCACAGGCATATCAGTTGGTCTAATTTACTTGAAACGAAAGTCTACTGAAGTGAGACTTGGTCCTTGTGTTTCTTGGCTATTTACATTGTTTTGTTCACAAGCTAGGTTGTTTTTCAATGTTTGAGTTTCAACTGCTAGGGAAGAGAACACACCACAGCTATTAGTCACTCTCAATCTCACAGGCACATGACTTCGGGTCGCATTATCACGGTAACCTCCCGCCCTTAAAGGGGCAGGTGAAAATGTTTGTGTAATCTGTGATATTTTGGTTAAAAGGCTCAGGTTGCAAAAAATCTTAAATAAACAATATACTTTACTTCTTACTAGTAATACATGTATTGTTTTTTAGAAACATTACAACGCATGCTCATCAGTTTCTTTTCTGTTTTGTTGGTGTAATTTTGTGTGACCCCAAAAATATTTTGCCTGGTAAAAAATCGGAGTTGCTGGTAGATTTGTAATGGTGGGACCAAAAATAAAATGTTAGGCCCTGTTTGTGTGCGTATTGAACAGGACCCTGGTGTGTTATGACTGCAGCCTTAGCCCAATATGGGACACCTGTTTACTCCCTCATTCTCACCCCTCCCTCTATAGAAGCGTCGTTCCAGTCGTCAGGTGAAGAGGAAGCGCTATACAGAGGAACTGGAGTTCAGGATCTCGGACGATGATGGAGACGCGTCCCCCTTCAACAACTCTGAACAGCAGGTCAGCACCCACAGAATGTGTGTGCGCGAGTGTCTGCGTTCCAGAGAGACCGTGTGTGTGTGTGTGTGTGTGTGTGTGCGTTCCAGAGAGACCGTGTGTGTGTGAGAGAGAATAGGTTTGTGCTCATTGCTCTTCATTACTTTTAAGCCGGGCTAATGTTGTTCAATCTGTGTGACTGTAGGAGGTGGAGACAGAGGGGCCTGTGGTGGAGAAGATCATGGCAATACGCATGGGGAAGAAGGTGGTGAGGCACACACACACACACACACACACACACCCTCCAAGGCAGCTGTCTGTGGAGAGAGAAAGGGTACCAGCACCCCTGCCCTGGTCATCTTATGAACCACTGCTTGACCAGCTCTAAGCAGGTTACACACCCACACACCCTCCCTCTTAAACAGCTGCTTCGTAGACGAGTCTAGCAGTGGTCTGGAGTGGAGACAGTGTGACAGTTGGCGTCTCGTGACTTTTGAGCTGGGTTATGAGAGTTATGAGACTTGTCTCTTTTACTTGGGGAAGTTCACCAAATGTTACATGTATACTTATTTTCACTCCTTTCTATGCTTGTAGTTGATCCATCAAACAATGTTTTTATATTTTGTTTCATTACAGAGAAAATTGGTAGACACATTTTGCTGAGTCATATATTGCGTTATGAAAATGTTTCTAAAGCATGTTAAAAAATGCTCCAACACTCCAAATCAACTCCTATTACATCAGAATCCCATTCAAAATTGTCTCTGAACATTTTTTTATTTTACGTTCCCTTAAATCCATATTTGCATATTTTTGTTGTTGTAAACGGCATCATTCAAACATCGATTTATGGCACAGTGGAGCATTTCTTTAAAAAAATGTAGTGCAGAGGCATCATTCAGAACGGATTCTGATTTAATGTGAGTTGGTGTGAAGTGTTTTGGTGTTTTCTAATATGCTTTAGACATATTTGCATATTGCATTATAGTCAATGGCAAGTGATGACTCAGCAATTTTCTCTGTAACGAAACAAAAAAAACGGTTTGGGAGGGGATCAACTACAATCACAGAAAGAGTGAAAATAAGGCCACATGTAAAAATGGGTGAACTTCCCTTTAAAAGTCCAGATACTTCATTGACTGTATCTCTTGTTTGCAGTGAAGGGGTGATACTGTACTCTAGTACTGGTTGTATAGAGAGGTAAAGTAGGGGGAGGAGAAAACGAGAATTTGTTACATTGCACTTCAGACAGGGTAGGGGGTGTGAGAGGTGTGTGTGTGTGTGAGAGAGTGGTGTGTGAGAGAGTGGTGTGTGAGAGAGTGGTGTGTGAGAGAGTGGTGTGTGTGAGAGAGTGGTGTGTGAGAGTGGTGTGTGCGTGTGAGAGAGTGGTGTGAGAGAGTGGTGTGAGAGAGTGGTGTGTGTGTGTATGTGAGAGAGTGGTGTGAGAGAGTGGTTGGTGTGTGAGAGTGGTTGGTGTGTGAGAGAATGGTTGGTGTGTGTGTGTGTGAGAGTGGTGTGTGTGTGTGTGTGTGGTGTGGTGGGTGTGTGTGTGTGTGTGAGAGTGGTGTGTGGTTTGACGAGTGTGTGTGTGGAGAGTGGTGTGGTGGGTGTGTGGTGAGAGGTGGTGTTGTGGTGTGTGTTGTGTGGTGAGAGATTGTTTGGTGTGTGTTGTGTGTGCGGTGTGTGTTGTGTGAGCGAGAGTGGTTGTGTGTTGTGTGGTGTGTGCGGATGGGTGTGTGGTGGGGGTGTGTGGAGTGTGTTGTTGACGTTGGTTTGTGTTTGGGCTGGTGTGTGTGAGAGAGTGGTGTGGTGTGGTGCTCGACAGACCTGTGGTGTGTGTGTGAGTAATGGGTGTTGTGAGTGTGTGTGTCGAGAATGGGGTGTGGGTTGTGTGATGTGTGGTAATGTGTGTGTGTGTGTGAGAGTGAGTGTGTGAGAATGTGTGGGTGGTGGCGGTCTCAGGGATGTTCTTCTTCGCACCCTTTCCAAAAGCTGCTCCAAAACAAAGCTTGGTTCACATTTTTACATTTTAGTCATTTAGCAGACGCTCTTATCCAGAGCGACTTACAGTTAGTGAGTACATACATTTTCATACTGCCCCCCCGTGGGAATCGAACCCACAACCCTGCTCAACGCCATGCTCTACCAACTGAGCTACACGTTCACCTCTGCCAAAAACAATATGAGCACTCGCACAGGCTGTCTGGCGGGACTCAAAAGTAAGGCAGCTGCGAATGGGTAACCCCCCTCCACCACACCCCCCCGCCTTACACACACCCTTCCAGAGGAAACGCTGGTTTGGCGTCTGTCGTAGCGCTGTGGTTTTGGCAGGAAGACGGGCCTCGGGTCAGCTCTCTGAATGGAACCGTGTGTGTGTGCACAGTGTATCGCGCCCGTGTGTGTGCGTGTTTGAAGTTTTATTAGTCGTATGTACAGGATACACATGGTATACGCCATCCAGGGAAATGCTTACTTGCAGGTTCCCTCTCGACACTGCAACAACAATAAGAAATAATACAAGATAAGAATACCAACATAAAGTAAATGGCTCAGTAGAAAAGAATTAACATTTTAGCTTAAGTATAATACAGGAAGGCACAATTTATAGTCCAACATTTACCGATGTATCAGGGAAGGGGCATCGGGGCCGTGTATATCAGGGAAGGGGCATCGGGGCCGTGTGTATCAGGGAAGGGGCATCGGGGCCGTGTATATCAGGGAAGGGGCATCGGGGCCGTGTGTATCAGGGAAGGGGCATCGGGGCCGTGTGTATCAGGGAAGGGGCATCGGGGCCGTGTGTATCAGGGAAGGGGCATCGGGGCCGTGTGTATCAGGGAAGGGGCATCGGGGCCGTGTGTATCAGGGAAGGGGCATCGGGGCCGTGTGTATCAGGGAAGGGGCATCGGGGCCGTGTGTATCAGGGAAGGGGCATCGGGGCCGTGTGTATCAGGGAAGGGGCATCGGGGCCGTGTGTATCAGGGAAGGGGCATCGGGGCCGTGTGTATCAGGGAAGGGGCATCGGGGCCGTGTGTATCAGGGAAGGGGCATCGGGGCCGTGTGTATCAGGGAAGGGGCATCGGGGCCGTGTGTATCAGGGAAGGGGCATCGGGGCCGTGTGTATCAGGGAAGGGGCATCGGGGCCGTGTATATCAGGGAAGGGGCATCGGGGCCGTGTGTAAGTGATTCACGAGTCATCGCACAGACAGAGTGGAGATGGTTAGGGGTGGGGACTTATTGTCAGTTTTCTTCTTGTCTCCGAAAGTACAGAGAGAACTCTGTGGCAAAATACGTTTGTTAGACGTTACTACTTTGTTAGAGAAAACGGTGGCATTGATTTTTTTTTTTTTTTTTTTATACATATATATTTTTTGCTTCCAACTCTAATCAACAACTGACACAAATATTAACTTTTTCCACAGATGGAATCGGGAGAGGAAATGGAAGTGGAAGAATTCTATGTGAAGTTCAAGAGCTTGTGAGTACCGACACGACAGTGGCCTTGGTTCACTATGTCATTTTATTTCCTCAAGCTTCGGGGGGAAATGGTGGATAAACGTGAAATCTAATAAACACTGTAAACCACTGTTTACTGTTTGGACCGAAGAGGAAACTGTATAATGCTATAAATCTCTAGATTAGCACATGTTTGGGTGCGTGTGTGATGTCTGAAAGTGTTATGTTGTGTGATGGTGCGTCTGTGTATTTTCTGTTGTCTTTTTGTGAGGTGTGTTTATGGTGTATGAGATATGGTGTGTATATTATAGCATGTGTGTGTATGAGATATGGTGTGTATATAATAGCGTGTGTGTGTTTTGGTGTGTGTATGAGATATGGTGTGTATATAATAGCGTGTGTGTGTATGTAACGGTGTGTATTCCCCCCCGCTCTCTCTGTGTAGCTCCTACCTGCACTGTCGCTGGGCAGATCTGGAGGAACTTGAGAAAGACAAAAGGATCCACCAGAAGGTCAAGCGGTTCAGGGCCAAACAGGCCCTCCCCACCTTCGTGACAGAGGTCAGTCCCGCACCTCTATCTTTCCCCAGTGTTTAGCTGCCATTTTGTGTCAGCTTTGACACCCGCTGTAGAATCCGTTTATTTCCTTTTGCCCACTTTCAACTTCAGAGGATTCAATTACATAATGTTATATTGGTTGGGTGAATTAGATCTAGACTGCACAGAAGGAAACCAAGCCATTCACTCTCTGCTATCGTAACACTAACCTCTACGTGGCCGTCCCTCTCTCCTGCCCTCCTCCAGATGGATGACGAGCCTTTCAACCCAGACTACGTTGAGGTGGACCGGGTACTGGACGTGTCAGAGAGCACAGATGAGAACGGAGAGGTGCGTTCCTTCTCTCGCTCTCTCCCTCCTTCCTGTTCTATATGGCCTCTAAATGACCTCCAAAGTTGGAATACGTTAGGTTATGTCCTTGATTGAAGTTTATTGGCTAAACGTTCCTTTTTAAGTTCCGGCCAAACGTTGCCCTTTCCTTTCTTCTTGGAGTCACAGAAAGACACACACACACTATAACCCCCCCCACACACTATAACCCCACCCACACTATAACCCCCACCCACACACTATAACCCCCCCACAACACTATAACCCCCCACACAACACACACGAGAACCCCACACACACACGAGAACCCCCCCACACACAGAACCCGCCCCCAAGAGAACCCCCCACACAACGAGAACCCCCACACACACGAGAACCCCCACAAAAAAAACCCCACACACACGAGAACCCCAACACACGAGAACACCCCACACACACAGAGAAACCCCCACAACACAAACCCCCACACACCACAAGAAACCCGCCAACACAAGAACCGCCCCACGAGATACCCACACAAACACGAGAACCCCCCACAGAGAAACCCACAAAACATGAAACCCCACACACGAGAAAACCCCCCAAACACACCGAAAAACCCCCCAACACGAGAAACGACCCCAAAAAAACCGCCCCCAACGGGGAAAAACCCCCCACACACACAAAGAAACCCCCCAACACACAGGAGAACCCCCACCACACAAAGAGACCCCACACACAACCCCCACACGAGAAAACCCCCACACACACACACAAGAGAACCCCAACAAAAGAAAACCCCCACCCACCACAAGAAAACCAACCCCAACAACGAGAAACCCCACACGAGAAACCCCCCACACCAAACAGAACACCCACACAACATAAAAAAACCCCCACCCCAAAAAACAAAAACCAACCAAGAACCCCACACAAAAAAAATAACCCCAAAAAAACTAAACCCCAAAAACAAACCACTATAACACCAACAACAAACACACATAAACCCCACACATAACCCCACACACACATATAACCCCCACACACACCCCCACACACACACACTATAACCCCCACACACACCTACACCCCCCACACAAATATAACCCCCACACACCCCACTAAACCCCCCACACACACACTAACCCTCCCACCACACACATTTAACCCCACACACATAGACACACATTACCCCTCCCCCCACACTAACCCCCTCTCTGCCCCCCCCTCCCCTCCCCAGCCGTAAAGCTGTACCTGGTGAAGTGGTGCTCCCTGCCCTATGAGGATAGCACATGGGAGCTGAAGGCCGACATCGACCAGGCCAAGATCGATGAGTACGAGGCCGTGGCAGCCCGCCAGCCCGAGACCAAGCGTTTGGTGCGTAATAAAAACTCTCCTGCTGCCTTTTTCTTACATTTTACGGCCCCTGCCCTTTAACGCAGAGCCAGCAAGGCCGAGCTCCTGCGGTCGCACGTAAACCACTAACGGCAGGCTTTTATTTGAAACAGGAGCGACCTCCCACCGAAGACTGGCAGAAATCCGAGAGTTCCAGGGATTATAAAAACGACAACGCACTCAGGGAATACCAGCTGGAGGGAGTGAACTGGCTGCTCTTCAACTGGTACAATACGTAAGGAGAATAACTTTCTGTGCGTCCGTGCATGTGTTAAGCTATATGACATATGTGTGTGACCCGCTATTATATAAGGTGTATATATTATGGAACATTTACATAGTAGAATATTCAAGATATCTACTGACTAGTCTAAAGTCCAAAATGTCATAAAAACCCACAATTACTCAATAACAAGTAGGACCATATATGCTATGTGTTTATCCAACACACTCACATATATAATACTGAACCATGTCACCCAGCATGCGTCAATACAATCAACACATCCATGCCCCATATTGTGTCCTCCAACCCATGTGTGTACCCAAGCTGTGCTTTTCTCACACCAATCATTAATGTGTGATCTACCACTGCTGCACACGACACACACACACACACACGCAGTCAGTATGACGCTATAGAAAACCTCCCACACAGACAACTTCTTAATTTGAGTGTCATTGATCTGCCCCAACAGGGTTAGTTAACTGTTCATTAGATTACTCACTCACTAATAGAGTGCACAGAGACTTAAGGACCCACTATTGCCAATATTGTGCTTTATTTAGGACTCTAGTCAAAGGTAGGGCGCACTATAGGGTGAATAGGGTGTAATTTGAGACAGACACTATCCCTGTTACATCTCATTTTCTCTTCTCCTGTCTGTCCTCCTTGAAGACCCATTTAGATGAATCGCTCCTGCTAATACAGTGACTTTCACCATGTTTCCCCCCCCCCCTCCAGACGGAACTGCATCCTAGCAGATGAAATGGGCCTGGGCAAGACCATCCAGTCCATCACATTCCTTTATGAGATCTACCTGAAGGGCATTCACGGGCCCTTTCTGGTCATCGCCCCGCTCTCCACCATTCCAAACTGGGAGAGGGAGTTCCGCACGTGGACCAATCTCAACGTCATCGTCTACCACGGCAGCCAGGCCAGCCGCAAGACCATCCAGGCCTACGAAATGAACTACCGCGACGCGCAGGTACGTCGTGACTGTACTGTAACCATGACCTAACCATACCATAACTATAACAGTACCATCCAGTTCTACGAGTTGGAACTACAGGTATGACCTAACCTGACCATAAAAAGACCATTAAGGCCAGATGCACAGGTAACATGACCTTAATGTAACGATACTATAGCTTTGTAACACCGGCCTGTGAGGTGAACCCAACCACACCATAAACGTACCATTACATAACAAACCATAACCTCACAAGACACTCAGGTCTAAGTGACACAGACAATCAAGCCTGCCTAGCCACATGGATACATTATAGTATGGTACAGTAGGTTCTTAACCCTAATCTAAGAATAATCCCACAAAAGCACCTTAGAGACGCTCAGGTATTTAACGACATTAACCAGCGCTCCACACTGACCGTACCGACGAAATAAAGAGTGACCGGAATGTGACCCTAACCTACTCCATTAACCATTTAAATGTGTACACTACCGGTCAAAAGTTTTAGAACACCTACTCATTCAAGGGTGTTTCTTCATTTTTACTATTATCTACATTGTAGAATAATAATGAAGACATCAAAACTATGAGAACACATATGGAATCATGTATTAACCAAAAAAGTGTTACACAAATCAAAATATATTTTATATTTGAGATTCTTCAAATAGCCACCCTTTACCTTGATGACAGCTTTGCACACTCTTGGCATTCTCTCAACCAGCTTCGTGAGGTAGTCACCTGGAATGCATTTCAATTAACAGGTGTACCTTCTTAAAAGTTAATTTGTGGAATTTCTTTCCTCCTTAATGCATTTGAGCCAATCAGTTGTGTTGTGACAAGGTAGGGGTGGTATACAGGAGATAGCCCTATTTGGTGAAATACCAAGTCCATATTATGGCAAGAACAGCTCAAATAAGCAAAGAGAAACGACAGTTCATCATTACTTTGAGACGCGAAGGTCAGTCAATACGGAACATTTCAAGAACTTTGAAAGTTTCTTCAAGCGCAGTCGCAAAAACAATCAAGCGCTATGATGAAACTGGCTCTCATGAGGACCGCCACAGGAATGGAAGACCCAGAGTTACCTCTGCTGCAGAGGATAAGTTCATTAGAGTTACCAGCCTCAGAAATTGCAGCCCAAATAAATGCCTCACAGAGTTCAATTAACAGACACATCTCAACATCAACTGTTCAGAGGAGACTGTGTGAATCAGGCCTTCATGGTCAATTTGCTGCAAAGAAACCACTGCTAAAGGACACCAATAATAAGAAGAGACTTGCTTGGGCCAAGAAACACGAGCAATGGACATTAGACAGGTGGAAATTTGTCCTTTGGTCTGGAGTCCAAATTGGAGATTTATGGTTCCAATTGCTGTGTCTTTGTGAGACGCGGTGTGGGTGAACGGATGATCTCCGCATATGTAGTTCCCAACGTAAAGCACGGAGGAGGAGGTGTTATGGTGTGGGGGTGCTTTGCTGGTGACACGGTCTGTGATTTATTTAGAATTCAAGGCACACTTAACCAGCAAGGCTACCACAGCATTCTGCAGCGATACGCCATCCCATCTGGTTTGGGCTTAGTGGGACTATCATTTGTTTTTCAACAGGACAATGACCCAACACACCTCCAGGCTGTGTAATGGCTATTTGACCAAGAAGGAGAGTGATGGAGTGCTGCATCAGATGACCTGGCCTCCACAATCCCCCAACCTCAACCAAATTGAGATGGTTTGGGATGAGTCGGACTGCAGAGTGAAGGAAAAGCAGTGGAAAAGCAGTCAACAAGTGCTCAGCTTATGTGGGAACTGTTGGAAAAGCGTGCCAGGTGAAGCTTGTTGAGAGAATGCCAAGAGTGTGCAAAGCTGTCATCAAGGTGGCTATTTGAAGAATCTCAAAAATAAACTATTTTGATTTGTTTAACACTTTTTTTGTTACTACATGATTCCATATGAGTTATTTCATAGTTTTGATGTCGTCACTATTATTCTACAATGTAGAAAATAGTAAAAATAAAGAACAACCCTTAGAACACCTACTCATTTAAAACTTTTGACCGGTAGTGTATACCTACTCCACTAACCATTTTAAATGTGTAATCTTACTCCATTAACCTCACACTTGAGCCATTATGTTTAATTCAGTATATGTTGAGTCCATTTTGATTCAGTAAATTGACCAAAGGCCAGATTTCCCTGACCATAACCAGGGTCCAGAGTTTCTCCGATTGATTCAAGTAGGAAAAACTACTGGCCATACACCATGACACTCACTCTTCCCTGTGTTCTGACCTCGCTCTCCCTCGCCCTCTTCGCCTCCCTCCATCTTCAGGGCCGTGTGATAAAGGGAGCGTACAAATTCCATGCGGTCATCACCACATTTGAGATGATTCTGACAGACTGCCCGGAGCTGCGCAGCGTCCCGTGGCGCTGTGTGGTCATCGACGAGGCTCACCGCCTCAAGAACAGGAACTGCAAACTGCTGGAGGGACTCAAGATGATGGACATGGTGAGTTGACACGGAGAGAAATGTCTAGTTGATAACTTCCATCTCTACTGTGTTTTTTTTGGAAGACTTGCAATTGAACCTGTTGGAAAATAAGCAATATTTATTGAAAAATGCTAATATTTTATGGACATCAATTGGACGTTTCCACCCTCCTTCTCTCCTATCACAGGAGTAATAAAATAATATCTATAATGACCTACTGGAAGGAGCTAAGTATAGTAAAAAACCTCTCTCTCCCCTGTGAAGGAGCACAAGGTGCTGCTGACTGGGACCCCCCTGCAGAACACGGTGGAAGAGCTCTTCAGTCTGCTCAACTTCCTGGAGCCAGAACGCTTCCCCTCGGAGAACACCTTCATGCAGGAGTTTGGAGACCTCAAGACTGAGGAGCAAGTCCAGAAGCTGCAGGCCATCCTGAAGCCCATGATGCTGCGACGTCTCAAGGAGGACGTGGAGAAGAACCTGGCCCCCAAGGAGGAGACCATCATCGAGGTTTCTGTATTTGAATTTTTGTGTGCTCCTCATGGTCAAATGATGTAATTTCTCTCCACTGAGTATACCTAACTAATCTCCTGTTCTCAGGTGGAGCTGACCAACATCCAGAAGAAGTACTACCGGGCCATCCTGGAGAAGAACTTCTCCTTTCTGTCTAAAGGAGGACCGGGAGGAGGAGGTGGCGCATGGGGAGGTGGAGGGGCTCAGGTCCCCAACCTTCTCAACACCATGATGGAGCTGAGGAAGTGCTGCAACCACCCCTACCTCATCAACGGTACAGAACACGCACACAAAAGGCGCCCGCGTGCTTCCCATCCGAAACAGTTCGTTTTGGTCTTCGAGGGTTTTCTCAGCTGTTCGTGCACACTACATTTTTTTCTCGAAGTCTACGCCCCTTCGTTGGTGATTGGTCTAAGATCTCCTCGACAATAAAGTCTAAATTAATAGCATTTTTCTTGAGTTATCTTCGATGAATTCGGACTATTTTGACAAAGTTTATACTGACTACGGCGTCTCAAGATGGACAAACAGTACTATTTATGCTTTTTTTCTCATTTTTCAAGCGAAGGTCTTTTAAGGTAGTATGCGAGCACACTCGTTTGGTTCGCCTAGCCGAGTTAAGCTAGGTGCCAGCCGAACCGAAGCATGCGGAATGCTTAACACACACACTAACATAGTGTTTTGGATGCTCTGAGTGTTGATTTGCCCCAACCACTGTTGGTACTTGGCTTGGGTTGGTTTGTGAACTTGCTGGGTTTAGTCTCACTGCTTTGATTGATTCTGATGCATGGCCGTTTATGTTCTATGATGTTCTAGGTGCAGAGGAGAAGATCCTGGAAGACTTCCGTGAGAACCACCATGCCGAGATGCCCCAGTTCCACCTACAGGCCATGATCCAGGCGGCGGGCAAGCTGGTGCTGATCGACAAGCTGCTGCCCAAGCTGAAGGCCGGGGGACACAGGGTCCTCGTCTTCTCCCAGATGGTGCGCTGCCTGGACATCCTGGAGGACTACCTCATCCAGAAACGGTATGGATCTGACCTTTTACATTTTAGTCATTTAGCAGACGCTCTTATCCAGAGTGACTTACAGTTAGTGAATACATATTTTTTTATACTGGCCACCCGTGGGAATCGAACCCACAACCCTGGCGTTGCAAACGCCATGCTCTATCAACTGAGCTACATCCCTGCCGGCCATTCCCTCCCCTACCCTGGACGACGCTGGGCCAATTGTGCGCCGCCCATGAGTCTCCCGGTCGCGGCCGGCTGCGACAGAGCCTGGATTCGAACCAGGATCTCGAGTGGCACGGTTAGCACTGCGCCACTCAGGAGTACCCCTGAAGTACCCCTTTTATGTTCTCATCCAGATTTTCTCTTCCATTCCACTCTTACCTAACCCAGGGGATTGAAACTGGAGCCCTGCATGCCAGATGTGGCCTGCAAGCCAATTTTAATATAGGCCGCAGTTGTCTTAGTAAATGAGTTTGAGAGCCCTACCCTAATGACACTCCATAGATTATTTCCCATCTTCAGATTTGAATTGTTGATGCATTTGAACATCACTATATTTCATACTATATATAAATGTAATGTATTTTACTAGTCATCTGCGCCAACACATCAATGACAGCGAGCACATCAATGACAAAGTCAGAAATGCGGGTTGTTTTTTATAATTGTGTTAAATCCGTTGTTGATGAAGCTGACCATGACTGTCTCAATCTGACCAGGTACCCGTACGAGCGTATCGACGGCCGTGTGAGGGGTAACCTCCGGCAGGCTGCGATTGACCGCTTCTCTCGTCCGGACTCTGACCGCTTTGTCTTCCTGCTGTGTACCCGGGCTGGAGGCCTGGGCATCAACCTGACCGCTGCTGACACCTGCATCATCTTTGACTCGGACTGGAACCCCCAGAATGACTTACAGGTGAGAGGACTGGGCAGGGCTTGGAAATAGTGTTACCACTTTGTTTAATAGTCAAGTTGAAGACGCAATTTTTTAAAATACTTTGGTCACTACTCAAATAACTACACAGGTAAATACAAATCAAATCAATTTTTATTTGTCACATGCGCCAAATACAGCAGTGAAATGCTTACTTACAAGCCCTTAACCAACAATGCAGTTTTAAGAAAGAATACCAAAACAAATCACACAAAAAAATACAATATAAAATAATACGAAATAAAAGTAACAAATAATTAAAGAGCAGCAGTAAAAATAACAATAGCGAGGCTATATACGGGGGTACCGGTACCTAGTCAATGTGCGGGGGACACCTGTTAGTTGACGTAATATGTAAATGTAGGTATAGTTATTAAAGTGACTCTGCATAGATAATAAACAGAGAAGAGGGGGGGGGGGGGCAGCAGCAGCAATGCAAATAGTCTGGGGTAGCCATTTGATTAGCTGTTCAGGAGTCTTATGGCTTGGGGGGTAGAAGCTGTTTAGAAGCCTCTTGGACCTAGACTTGAAGCTCCGGTACTGCTTGCCGTGCGGTAGCAGAGAGAACAGTCTATGACTAAGGTGGCTGGAGTCTTTATACCGCCTGGTATAGAGGTCCTGGATGGCAGGAAGCTTGGCCCCAGTGATGTACTGGGCCGTACGCACTACCCTCTGTAGTGCCTTGCGGTCGGAGGCCGAGCAGTTGCCATACCAGGCAGTGATGCAACCAGTCAGGATGCTCTCGATGGTGCAGCTGTAGAACCTTTTTGAGGATCTGAGGACGCATGCCAAATCTTCTCCTTAGGGGGAATAGGTTTTGTCATGCCCTCTTCACGATTGTCTTGGTGTGCTTGGACCATGTTAGTTTGTTGGTAATGTGGACACCAAAGAACTTGAAGTTCTCAACCTGCTCCACTACAGCCCCGTCGATGAGAATGGGGGCGTGCTCGGTCCTTCTCCTGTAGTCCACAATCATCTCCTTTGTCTTGATCACGTTGAGGGAGAGGTTGTTGTCCTGGCACCACACGGCCAGGTCTCTGACCTTCTCCCTATAGGCTGTCTCATCGTTGTCGGTGATCAGGCCTACCACTGTTGTCATCGGCAAACCTAAAGATTGTGTTGGAGGCATGCCTGGCCATGCAGTCATGGGGAGTACAGGAGGGGACTGAGCACGCACCCCTGAGGGGCCCCCGCGTTGAGGATCAGCATGGCGGATGTGTTGTTACCTACCCTTACCACCTGGGGGCAGCCTGTCAGGAAGTCCAGGATCCAGTTGCAGAGGGAGGTGTTTAGTCCCAGGGTCCTTAGCTTAGTGATGAGCTTTGAGGGCACTATGGTGTTGAACGCTGAGCTGTAGTCAATGAATAGCATTCTCACGTAGGTGTTCCTTTTGTCCAGGTGTGAAAGGGCAGTGTGGAGTGCAATAGAGATTGCATCATCTGTGGATCTGTTGGGGCGGTATGCAAATTGGAGTGGGTCTAGGGTTTCTGGGATACTGGTGCTGATGTGAGCCATGACCAGCCTTTCAAAGCACTTCATGGCTACAGACGTGAGTGCTACGGACCGGTAGTCATTCAGGCAGGTTACCTTAGTGTTCTTGGGCACATGGACTATGGTGGTCTGCTTGAAAAATTTTGGTATTACAGACTCAGACAGGGAGAGGTTGAAAATGTCAGTGAAGACACTTGCCAGTTGGTCAGCGCATGCTCTGCGTACACGTCCTGGTAATCCGTCTGGCCTTGTGAATGTTGACCTGTTTAAAGGTCTTACTCACATCGGCTACGGAGAGCGTGATCACACAGTCATCCGGAACAGCTGATGCTCTCATGCATGTTTCAGTGTTGCTTGCCTCGAAGCGGGCATATAAGTAATTTAGATCGTCTGATAGGCTCGTGTCACTGGGCAGCTCGCCGCTGTGCTTCCCTTTGTAGTCTGTAATAGTTTGCAAGCCCTGCCACAGCGGCAGCTCTACCCTTTAGCTCAGTGCGGATGTTGCCTGTAATCCATGGCTTCTAGTTGGCGTATGTACGTAAGGTCACTGTGGGGACGACGCCATCAATGCATTTATTGATGAAGCCAATGCCACTCCTCAATGCCATCTGAAGAATCTTGGAACATATTCCAGTCTGTGCTAGCAAAACAGTCCTGTAGCTTACCATCTGCTTCATCTGACCACCTTTTTATTGACCGAGTCGCTAGTGCTTCCTGCTTTAGTTTTTGCTTGTAAGCAGGAATCAGGAGGATATAATTATGGTCAGATTTGCCTAATGGAGGGCGAGGGAGAGCTTTGTACGCGTCTCTGTGTGTGGAGTAAAGGTGGTCTAGAATTTTTTTCCCTCTGGTTGCACATTTAACATGCTGGTAGAAATGAGGTGAAACGGATTTAAGTTTCCCTGCATTAAAGTCCCCGGGCACTAGGCGCGTCGCCTCTGGATGGGCGTTTTCCTGTTTGCTTATGGCCTTATACAGTTAGTTCACTGAGTGCGGTCTTAGTGCCAGCATCGGTTTCTGGTGGTAAATAGACAGCTACGAAGAATATAGATCAAAACTCTCTTGGTCGATTGTGTGGTCTACAGCTTATCATGAGATACTCTACCTCAGGCGAGCAAAACCTCGAGACTTCCTTAGATATCGTGCACCAGCTGTTGTTTACAAATATAGACCGCCACCCCTTGTCTTACCGGAGGCTGCTGTTCTATTCTTCTGATACAGTGTATAACCCACCAGCTGTATGTTATTCATGTCTTCGTTTGTTGGTAGGATATACAGTGGGGGAAAAAAGTATTTAGTCAGCCACCAATTGTGCAAGTTCTCCCACTTAAAAAGATGAGAGAGGCCTGTAATTTTCATCATAGGTACACGTCAACTATGACAGACAAATTGAGGGGAAAAAATCCAGAAAATCACATTGTAGGATTTTTAATGAATTTATTTGCAAATTATGGTGGAAAATAAGTATTTGGTCACCTACAAACAAGCAAGATTTCTGGCTCTCACAGACCTGTAACTTCCTCTTTAAGAGGCTCCAGTTCCATCAGTCATAGGAGAAGCACACATTTGTAAACATTAATTCTGTCAAACATGCCTAGTTAGCTAGCATCCGCTGATCAAATCTATGGGCTTGTTATGCTCGTCCAGAGCCAACTCAAGATGGGATCAAAATGGATGCAATGCTACTGAAGTATGCTACCCATAATTCCAGCCTTCAACACAGGTGCTGCTTCTGGCCCTCGTAAAAAAAACAAGTATTTTTACAACTAAATAAATCCAGCCGGCACTGCCAAAGGGCAAAGCAATATTTTCCAACTCCATAGACACAAGGTAGGCAGATACAGTGGGGAAAAAAAGTATTTAGTCAGTCACCAGTTGTGCAAGTTCTCCCACTTAAAAAGATGAGAGAGGCCTGTAATTTTCATCATAGGTACACGTCAACTATGACAGACAAATTGAGATTTTTTTTCTCCAGAAAATCACATTGTAGGATTTCTAATGAATTTATTTGCAAATTATGGTGGAAAATAAGTATTTGGTCACCTACAAACAAGCAAGATTTCTGGCTCTCACAGACCTGTAACTTCTTCTTTAAGAGGCTCCTCTGTCCTCCACTCGTTACCTGTATTAATGGCACCTGTTTGAACTTGTTATCAGTATAAAAGACACCTGTCCACAACCTCAAACAGTCACACTCCAAACTCTACTATGGCCAAGACCAAAGAGCTGTCAAAGGACACCAGAAACAAAATTGTAGACCTGCACCAGGCTGGGAAGAATGAATCTGCAATAGGTAAGCAGCTTGGTTTGAAGAAATCAACTGTGGGAGCAATTATTAGGAAATGGAAGACATACAAGACCACTGATAATCTCCCTCGATCTGGGGCTCCACGCAAGATCTCACCCCGTGGGGTCAAAATGATCACAAGAACGGTGAGCAAAAATCCCAGAACCACACGGGGGGACCTAGTGAATGACCTGCAGAGAGCTGGGACCAAAGTAACAAAGCCTACCATCAGTAACACACTACGCCGCCAGGGACTCAAATCCTGCAGTGCGAGACGTGTCCCCCTGCTTAAGCCAGTACATGTCCAGGCCCGTCTGAAGTTTGCTAGAGTGGATTTGGATGATCCAGAAGAGGATTGGGAGAATGTCATATGGTCAGATGAAACCAAAATAGAACTTTTTGGTAAAAACTCAACTCGTCGTGTTTGGAGGACAAAGAATGCTGAGTTGCATCCAAAGAACACCATACCTACTGTGATGCATGGGGGTGGAAACATCATGCTTTGGGGCTGTTTTTCTGCAAAGGGACCAGGACAACTGATCCGTGTAAAGGAAAGAATGAATGGGGCCATGTATCGTGATATTTTGAGTGAAAACCTCCTTCCATCAGCAAGGGCATTGAAGATGAAACGTGGCTGGGTCTTTCAGCATGACAATGATCCCAAACACACCGCCCGGGCAAAGAAGGAGTGGCTTCGTAAGAAGCATTTCAAGGTCCTGGAGTGGCCTAGCCAGTCTCCAGATCTCAACCCCATAGAAATCTTTGGAGGGAGTTTGAAAGTCCGTGTTGCCCCAGCGACAGCCCCAAAACATCACTGCTCTAGAGGAGATCTGCATGGAGGAATGGGCCAAAATAGCAGCAACAGTGTGTGAAAACCTTGTGAAGACTTACAGAAAACGTTTGACCTGTGTCATTGCCAACAAAGGGTATATAACAAATTGAGAAACCTTTTGACCAAATACTTATTTTCCACCATAATTTGCAAATAAATTCATTAAAAATCCTACAATGTGATTTTCTGGATTTTTTTTCCTCATTTAACCTGTCATAGTTGACATGTACCTATGATGAAAATTACAGGCCTCTCATCTTTTTAAGTGGGAGAACTTGCACAATTGGTGGCTGACAATACTTTTTTCCCCCCACTGTACGTGCCTGTAGTTCGTCCACTTTATTATCAAGCGATTGTAAATTGGCCAATAGTATCGATGGCAAAAGCAGATTAGCCACTCGTCGCCGGCTCCTTACCAAGCACCCCGATCTCCATCCGCGATATCTCCTTTTCTTTCTACTGTGAATGACGGGGATGAGGGCCCTGTCGGCTGTCTGGAGCAAATCCCTTTCATCCGAATCATTAGAGAGTCCATAAAACGGCAGCCATCCCATCTGGCCACATTACAGTGCTACTTCAGTAAACTTTGAAAGAAGACAGTCCTCTGTTAAAATACAGCAGAGAGACACATGTCGAAATATAGTACACAGGTTCATAGAAACTCCTAAAACAAGAAAAACAGGGAACCGACAGAAGTGAACCTTGCCAAACAGGACACAAACAAGATGTTATCACACCACTGGTACACCGCTACATTACTTTGTTTGTTGTTGTCAGTTGGTCTATGCTTTTCTCAATCAAAGCATGTTTTTTCTCTCTTTCTCTTTCCATCTCTCTCGCTCTTTTCCTCTCCCTCTCTCAGGCGCAAGCCAGATGCCACAGGATTGGCCAGAGCAAGGCTGTGAAGATCTACAGACTGATCACCAGGAACTCCTACGAGAGGGAGATGTTTGACAAGGCCAGCCTCAAGCTGGGCCTTGACAAGGCTGTGCTGCAGTCCATGAGTGGCCGAGAGAACGCAGCCAACGGGGTAAGACACATGCACGCAGACCTCACACAGTTAAATAGTAAGACCAGGCTTGAGGACATGTTAGTATTGTTTCTCGACATTCTGTGGGCACCCCTGTTGAATAAATCTCTAAAACAGAGATTGCTCACCTGCTTTTGTGAAAAGAGGTTATTCTCAACTATACTTCATTGTCTTATTAAAGGTGAACTATTGTTGATATGCTGAGCTCAGTAGTCTAAACCTTCAAATGTGCTCCACCACCTTAGGTGCCACAGCTATCTAAGAAGGAGGTGGAGGACCTCCTACGTAAAGGAGCCTACGGAGCTTTGATGGACGAGGAGGACGAGGGCTCTAAGTTCTGCGAAGAGGACATTGACCAGATCCTCCAGAGACGAACCCAGACCATCACCATTGAGTCCGAGGGCAAGGGGTCCACCTTCGCCAAGGTAGCTTCAATATGCTGTCTCCCATGTTTTCTTAGCACCCGTTTTGTAACACGTTCGTTCATTTTAGTGGTTAGTAGCATAGGAATTGAATTACTAGAACAGATTTCCCATTCAAGTCAATGGGTCTAGGTGGACTGACGGCCCATTTTAGTATTTCTATTTTTATGCTCATTACCAGTAGAGATCCACGCTCCTTCAGAATCAAACTGTGCAGTGTCAGTGGGAGCTCGTTCCAGTGGCCAACCCAGCAGCACTTCTTTGAGATCAAAAGCGTAATTGGAAAAGAAATGGCGAAGAAAATGCATTCAGGAGATTCACCATTTCTTATTTTCCCCTTTTCCCCAGGCCAGCTTTGTGGCCGCTGGGAACAGGACGGACATTTCCCTGGAGGACCCGGACTTCTGGCAGAAGTGGGCCAAGAAGGCGGAGCTCGACATGGAAGCCATCAATGGACGGGTGAGCTTCGGGAAATTGTGTTGTGGGAAATGTAGTGTAACAGGGATGACCTAAGGGGCAAAGACTTGGCTTGGTCAGTATTTGTCTCTCAAGGAATGCAAAAAAATTAAAATGCTAAGGGTTGAACTGTAACAGGTAGTGTTGTCACGATACCAGAATTTTGACTTCGATACCAATACCAGGTTTAGTATCACGACACTTGATACCATCAAGAAACTCTATTCCAAAACGATACTACGGCAAAAACAAGAAGGCATATTAGCCAAAGTCACAGTATGGTACTTGATCCAGACAGATAAACTCAGCTACTGCTCTGTTCAATCGTTGGGCATCTTTTGAGTTCAATATCATTACATTTGAATGTTTTCACGTCAACATTTTTCAGAGACATCCATTTATGTATTAATGAATCAATTATACAATCAATTTGACTTTGTTTTTACCAATATAACCACATAATGGTAATCATTTGTTTGAATGGTAAATCTCTATTGATAAACTGGGTAAATCAAGATGTAGCCTAGGCCAGGGTTTCCATTAGCCGGTAATAGCTTTTGTCCGAAAAATAATAATAGAAAAGCCGATAAATAAAATTAGCGCAAGCCAATTGTCCAGGAGAAGATAAAAACCCAGGCGGCCCCAGGACCGTGTGTACAGTATATTCGTTATGTAGCTTAGGCCTATCTTATTTATCACACACGTACAGCATACAGAGCCTTTGAGTGGGAAATCTGTCAGACAGCGCAAGAGCTGCTGCAGCGTCTTGTGGTGCTTTCAAGAAAACTGGGAATTCTGAGTCATCTTTAAACCCTGGATTGCTAATGCTATGTATTGGCCAGTGAGAGGCTTTGAAGCCACCTATCGGCCATATTGGCACTCATCCGAAGAAGCAGTTCGCCATAGGAATTAATGGTATTCTACAGAATTTCAATTAAATGTTTCAAGGACAAAATGTTATGTATTGAAGTATTTGTAGTGGGAACAGTAAGTTTATAACGTTCAAAAAATTATACTTCAAGGAAAAATGTTTTATATTTTTCAGAAGAGTCTTGAGGCCTGTGGGCATCCTAGAGCAAAATAACCCACATGTTCGTGAGAGTCTCACCTTTGCCCATATTAGTATGTAGCCCAAACGGTTCGGACACTACAGCCTTCAGACGAGACTCCTGACATTTGTGGAGGTCGTAGAGCAAAACGGAGAACACCATCGTGTTCGTGAGAGTCTCATCTTTCTATAGAGGGGTCAGTCATACTAGGCCAAACCGTTCGGACGCTACAGACAATTTAGTGAGAAGACCGATTTTCGGGATGTCTCATGGTCTGACAAACACCGCTCTAGCTCTGCCACCTTTCACCGCAGATGCGGAAGTGCGACGTAGGTGGATGCGGTGGATTGATAAAAAGATATCTCTACCTTAAATTTGATTTTCTTATGAATATTCCGGTTACTGGCCCAGCACTCTTAACAGTTATAGGAATGGTGGAAACCACACCAGCATTTCCCCTCCCTGTAGACGCCACGCTACAATATCGGAGCTCAGTGGTATTCTCTCCCTCATACATACGCAAATCTAAAGTGTTAATTAATACGTCTTATTACCCCAGGCTAGCCATGTGTGGAGCCCCAGTCATAACTGGGCTAAGGCGAGCTAATTTAAAATGGTGGCTGTGGGAATCTCTTTCTATTCCTTAATTACCCTGCGTTCCCCTCTTCAGTGGACCAGAGGCAGTAAGCAGCTTACGCTGCCTCCAGAGGGGAACAGAGACATCACTTAGTCAGTCTAAAGCAAGTCCTTTTCTCTCCTCTCCTCCTCTACCCCACGTCCACCCCTCCCTACCTCCCTCCCTCCCTCCCTCCCTCCCTCTCCTCAAGGGCCCTGGAGTATAGCACTTAATCCAGCCGCATAAACAGACGTGTCAGCTGTGCAAGTCACCCGGGATGAGTTTTTTATTTTATTTGTATAGCTATATCGAGCTTAGCAGGAAAACTATGGTAATAAGGTCAATCATAAAAACAACAACATGCTACCCGATTTTAGCATTTTAATACTGGGGAGATCGGGGAGGGAGGAAAGTGTGGTATTTTTTTTTTTGACACGTTTATTTTTGTATATATATTTTTATTTTCAGAACACCTTGGTGATTGACACTCCGAGGGTGCGGAAGCAGACACGCCACTACAGCTCGATGAAGGAGGACGAATTGGCAGAGTTCTCTGAGCTGGAAAGTGACGGTGAGAACGAGAAGCCCTTGACCAAACCCAGGCGGCCCCAGGACCGAGCCCACGGGTACCCCCGTAGCGAGTGCTTCAGGGTGGAGAAGAACCTGCTGGTTTATGGGTGAGTGGACATCGCTAATATGTTTCTTAGTCTTTCAGAAAGATTGACTGTTCTCTAAACCCTGGCCCTTTTGGAAGGGTAACCCTAGATACTAGGGGCGTGCCGAGTAGTCGGACAAAACGGGTATCGTAATGGATATGAGCAATCTTCCTGATACTATCATGATCAATAGTTTTTTTTTGTAATTATCCGTGATCTAAAAATAATATTTTTGGTTGCCAACTTGCATCTTTCAATCAAGTGCTACGTGGTGTAAACTCAACTGGGTAGTTCGTCTGTTTGTAAAGAGAAGGGCGGGCTGTACGTTGATCCTGCTGATTTGATTGGATAGAGCAAAGCTGTATCTCTGTCCACTCGCTTGTTTCAACATTTCACTCGATCACTTCTCCTCGCATGTTTCAGTTTGATCATTTAGATTGCTGCTGCCTCCTGTTAGCCTAATACTAATACTGCATAATATCTACCAAGCGGGGAGAGGGTAGGGAAAAAGATGAACCGCTGATGCACATTCTGACTGAGTGAGAGCAAACTTGTCTGCTCGGCCCCCTGCAAGTTGAGGAGACTGACACACACCCCTCTGCGCGCTGCTCCTAATCTGCAGCTTTTTTGGTCTGTAAGCGTGCAGGGAGATATTTTGACATCATCTTAGGCATATTAAAACAGTTTCTTCCGATCACGAGTATCATCCGATCCGACTGACAATTTACGGATACGATTATGAGTATGGCCAGGTCAGCACACCTCTACTACATACCCCTCGTAGACCTGAGCGAATTGAATAGGTTTTTAGTGATTTGGTAAAATATGTACTTTGCACTCTTGACAGACTAGGTGATCGACTCGATTTTTGCCATAGTGGTGAAATTGGTATGGAGACGTGCCCATTCCAATATCCACCGCTAGACACTTGAGACATCAGGTGGATGTTAAAAAAAAATATAAAAAAAAGCTGTCAGAAACTGCCCCAAGCCTACCAGAGGGATATTACAATGTCTACATCTTCTGGCTCAGGAAGTCCACCTGAGAGATGTCATATCCTGTCTGGGTTAATGACTGCCAGGGCCTTTGAAGTATGATGAGGTTGAGGTTGAGGATGTGTGCTTGCCTCTGTGGCTGAACACATGCTGCGGTGGTCTGGGGGGAAATAATGGCCACAGAGTGCTGATGTTGGTACACTCACATGTAGGGTAATTTTAACATACACACGCATGGGACCATTAAACATGCCTGCACGCGCACAAGCCCAGATCGATCTTGCGTGCACTCCTATAATGACCCAACACACACAGTGACCCGACACGCATACATACACACACACTCATTAGTCGCCGTGCCTGGCTGCCATCTGCAGCAACAGATCACGGCTGGCTGCACGCACCAACCACGTCTGACCAGCAGTGGGGTTGTTTTTCACCATGCGACCGACTCGACTGCTGTCTAGACCCCTGGGCTGTAGGGCAAATTATGGAGCCATCACGTCTGAGGACTCTTCCCCCTCAAATGACGCTGCTGCCATTGACTCCCTCCCTCTCTGTATCTCCCTAACCCAGACCTAGTCTCCCTCGACCCAAAAGCACACACTCCTAGAATTTGGGTGTTAGTGGGCTGCATGTCAACTAGGGTTATCTCACCGTCGTGTAGAAGCGTTTAGGGAGAGACGAGTCTTCGGTCGGTTGTCACATGTTGGTGTTCTTCTCTGGGTCACCCACGGTAGTGAGATGTGATGTCGGTTGAGTGTGCGGTCATGAACGAACGGGGTCACGGAATCAGATCAGTGTGACATTGGACCATGGTTGAAATTCAGAGCGCCAGACATGACAACACAGCCCCATTCATACCTACCCCTCCCCTCCTCTCTTCATTTACTGTAGTGGTGGGTGGGGAGGAATATGACAATATGAAACCTCCCAGCCTCAGACTGTAAATGTGAATCATCGGGATAAATTATAATACTCGTGACACTGACTAAATACTTCTCCCACCTCCCTCTCGCTCCTCTCTTCTCTCTTCCTCATGCCTCTTTCCTTATCATTTCTATCCCTCGCTCCCTCTTTCTTTCCCTCTCGCCGCCTTACTCTCTACGCCCTTTTTCTCTCCTTCACCCTTCTCCTCTCCTTCACCCTTTTCTCCATCACTGTCTTTCTATCCTACTCCGACCCCCCCGTTCCCTCCCTTCTAGGTGGGGTCGCTGGGGAGACATCCTGTCCCGCGGGCGTTTCAAGCGGCCCCTGCAGGAGCAAGACGTGGAGACCATCTGCCGAGCCCTGCTGGCCTATTGCCTGCTGCACTACCGCGGCGACGAGAACATCAAGAGCTTCATCTGGGACCTCATCACGCCCTCTGAGGACGGACAGAGTCGCACGCTCACCAACCACTCCGGTATGTATCCCTACCGCAACACAACCGTAGCTTAGCTACAACATAACCAACACACACTTTCCATTCACTCTCTCACAGTAACACCCTCACCAACTGCTCCACAAGTCCTTCCCAATAGCCCGCTGTAGGAGTAGAGTGAATTAACATCCGTTGAATTCCATAGGATTTTTGACAGTCCCACCACTTAAGTCCCTCCCTCACTCACTCCCACAACTCCTCCTGACCTGACCTTGCTCTAACATTGTGTCTAGTTTGAACTGGTTCAGATTCTGAACTTAATTGTATGACTTGTTTGACCTTGATCCTCATTGGTTTCACTCAGAACCCAACGCTAGAGTCTGATTGGTAAAAAAAAAAAGGTTTTTGTCCCAACATGGACTCCAATTGGCCCAATTCATTGCTGTTGTTTTCAATTATAGTTTGCAAATAGCCATTTCAAATAAATTGTTTAAATAAATAATAAAATCTTTGCTGATACTAGACTTGTCCAACCCAGGTCTCTTGTTTAAAGATGTCATCTGAATTTGACAAATATTAAACCTGTGTGTGTGTCTGACCATTGCTGTGCTCCCCCCTCTCCTGTAGGTCTGTCTACTCCAGTACCACGGGGTCGTAAGGGGAAAAAGGGGAAACCAGCCCCGCCTGCTCCTCCCCAGCTCCCCAGGGCAGAGTGGCTTGCCAGCTGTAACCCTGACCTGCTACTGCAGGAGGACAGCTACAAGAGACACCTCAAACACCACTGTAACAAGTAAGTCACTTCTAAACTTCAACCCCAAATCCTGACCTCTAACCCCAACACTGTCGTTCTTCAAACACCACAAGAACAAGCGAGCCATTGGTCAACCCTCTGACCTCAAACCAAACACAAACCACCCAGGTTTCCATACATGGATAGGCCAACCCACCATTGGTAGTTGGTGGTTTCATTTAAAACACACAGTTCCTGTCCACAGCCCCCAGTAATCCTATTTCACATGAGTTAGCTGCTAGTGACACACACCAACACACACACTTTTCACTTCAGTCTTTTGTTTCGTTCTAGGCAGTGTCCTATTTACTTTCCTCCTTCCTTGGCCACAACTCTTCTTCTCCTCTCCACTCTTCTTTCTACTCTGCTGTTGTTGGGGAGATTTTGCGGCGGCCAGGTTTTTTGGGCCGAGGCTGGCGCCAGGCCAGGTGCGAGGCAGACCTGTTGGAAGCGGGTGAAAGGCAGCACACACAGGGGTGATTATGTGGTGCCATCTGTCAGGCGCGGGGGCTGGTGCGCAGCGTGGCTAATCAGGCCTGGCAGCGTGATGGATGGGCAGGGGTTCGTGCCAAAGAGCCGCTACCGTCGCTGCTACCCGCTCTACCCAGCTACTGCTGCTGGCACACGTGCACAGGACCAGAGTTAAACACTCACTCTTTCCTTCTTTTTTTTATCCCCCCCTCTTCTTTCTCTTGCCCGTCTCTCTCCTCCCCCTCTTTCCTCTCTCTCTCCTCCCCCTCTTTCCTGTCTCTCTCTCTCCCTATTTCCTGTCTCTCTCTCTTTCCCTCCCACAGAGTTCTCCTGAGGGTCCGTATGCTCTACTATCTGCGACAGGAAGTCATCGGTGACCACGCCGACAGGATCCTAGAGGGAACAGACTCAAGGTTGGCATCCATGCTCCTCCTTCCTCTCCTTCCTCTTCTCTCCTTCCTCCATCCCTTTATCTCTCCCTCCAACACTCCCAAGCTCCTGCCTGCTTTATATTCCCTCTTCCATCCCCCCGTCCCCCTCTTCCTCCCCTCCCCTCGTTCCGCCCCTCACCCAGATGTGCATGCATGTATAATGCAGAAATGTGTGCTCCATATTGATGGCGTCTGAGGCTATTCGCTGAATAGTTAAAATGTTATTGTGTGCGTGCATATACGTGCCAGTTAGTGTGCGTGTTTGCACATATACACTATATACACTACCGTTCAAAAGTTTGGGGTCACTTAGAAATGTCCTTGTTTTCGAAAGAAAATCAATTTTTTTGTCCATTAAAATAACATAAAATTGATGAGAAATACAACATTAACAATGTCATTACTGTAACTGGCTATTGTAGCTGGAAACGGCTGATTTCTAGTGGAATATCTACAGTGGGGGAAAAAAGTATTTAGTCAGCCACCAATTGTGCAAGTTCTCCCACTTGAAAAGATGAGAGAGGCCTGTCATTTTCATCATAGGTACACGTCAACTATGACAGACAAATTGAGAAAAAAAAATCCAGAAAATCACATTGTAGGATTTTTAATGAATTTATTTGCAAATTATGGTGGAAAATAAGTATTTGGTCACCTACAAACAAGCAAGATTTCTGGCTCTCACAGACCTGTAACTTCTTCTTTAAGAGGCTCCTCTGTCCTCCACTCGTTACCTGTATTAATGGCACCTGTTTGAACTTGTTATCAGTATAAAAGACACCTGTCCACAACCTCAAACAGTCACACTCCAAACTCCACTATGGTCAAGACCAAAGAGCTGTCAAAGGACACCAGAAACAAAATAGTCTGGGAAGACTGAATCTGCAATAGGTAAGCAGCTTGGTTTGAAGAAATCAACTGTGGGAGCAATTATTAGGAAATGGAAGACATACAAGACCACTGATAATCTCCCTCGATCTGGGGCTCCACGCAAGATCTCACCCCGTGGGGTCAAAATGATCACAAGAACGGTGAGCAAAAATCCCAGAACCACACGGGGGGACCTAGTGAATGACCTGCAGAGAGCTGGGACCAAAGTAACAAAGCCTACCATCAGTAACACACTACTCCGCCAGGGACTCAAATCCTGCATTGCCAGACGTGTCCCCCTGCTTAAGCCAGTACATGTCCAGGCCCGTCTGAAGTTTGCTAGAGTGCATTTGGATGATCCAGAAGAGGATTGGGAGAATGTCATATGGTCAGATGAAACCAAAATATAACTTTTTGGTAAAAACTCAACTCGTCGTGTTTGGAGGACAAAGAATGCTGAGTTGCATCCAAAGAACACCATACCTACTGTGAAGCATGGGGGTGGAAACTTCATGCTTTGGGGCTGTTTTTCTGCAAAGGGACCAGGACGACTGATCCGTGTAAAGGAAAGAATGAATGGGGCCATGTATCGTGAGATTTTGAGTGAAAACCTCCTTCCATCAGCAAGGGCATTGAAGATGAAACGTGGCTGGGTCTTTTAGCATGACAATGATCCCAAACACACCTCCCGGGCAACGAAGGAGTGGCTTCGTAAGAAGCATTTCAAGGTCCTGGAGTGGCCTAGCCAGTCTCCAGATCTCAACCCCATAGAAAATCTTTGGAGGGAGTTGAAAGTCCGTGTTGCCCAGCGACAGCCCCAAAACATCACTGCTCTAGAGGAGATCTGCATGGAGGAATGGGCCAAAATACCAGCAACAGTGTGTGAAAACCTTGTGAAGACTTACAGAAAACGTTTGACCTGTGTCATTGCCAACAAGGGGTATATAACAAAGTATTGAGAAACTTTTGTTATTGACCAAATACTTATTTTTCACCATAATTTGCAAATAAATTCATAAAAAATCCTACAATGTGATTTTCTGGAATTTATTTTCTCATTTTGTCTGTCATAGTTGACATGTACCTATGATGAAAATTACAGGCCTCTCTCATATTTTTAAGTGGGAGAACTTGCACAATTGGTGGCTGACTAAATACTTTTTTTCCCCACTGTACATAGGCGTACAGAGGCCCATTATCAGCAACAATCAGTCCTGTGTTCCAATGGCACGTTGTGTTTGCTAATCCAAGTGTATCATTTTAAAACCCTTTTGCAATTATGTTAGCACAGCTGAAAACTGTTGTGCTGATTTAAAGAAGCAATAAAACTGGCCTCCTTGAGACTAGTTGAATATCTGGAGCATCAGCAATTGTGGGTTCGATTACAGGCTCAGAATGGCCAGAAACAAATAACTTTTATCTGAAACTCATCAGTCTATTCTTGTTCTGAGAAATTAAGGCTATTCCATGCGAGAAATCTCAACGTCAACAGTGAAGAGGCGACTCCGGGTTGCTGAACTTCTAGGCAGAGTTGCAAAGAAAAAGCCATATCTCAGAATGGCCAATAAAAAGAAAAGATTAAGATGGGCAGTCTGAGATATGGCTTTTTCTTTGCAACTCTGCCTAGAAGGTCAGCATACCGGAGTCGCCTCTTCACGTTGAGACTGGTGTTTTGCGGGTACTATTTAATGAAGCTGCCAGTTGAGGACCTGTGAGGCGCCTGTTTCTCAAACTAGACACTAATGTATTTGTCCTCTTGCTCAGTTGTGCACCAGGGCCTCCCACTCTTTCTATTCTGGTTAGAACCAGTTTGCGCTGTTCTGTGAAGGGAGTAGTACACAGCGTTGTACAAGATCTTCAGTTTCTTGGCAATTTCTCGCATAGAATAGCCTTCATTTCTCAGAACAAGAATAGACTTACGAGATTCAGAAGAAAGTTATTTGTTTCTGGCCATTTTGAGCCTGTAATCGAACCCACAATTGCTGATGCTCCAGATACTCAACTAGTCTCAAGAAGGCCAGTTTTATTGCTTCTTTAATCAGCACAACAGTTTTCAGCTGTGCTAACAGAATTGCAAAAGGGTTTTCTAATGATCAATTAGCCTTTTAAAATGATAAACTTGGATTAGCAAACACAATGTGCCATTGGAACATAGGACTGATGGTTGCTGATAATGGGCCTCTGTACGCCTATGTAGATATTCCATTAAAAATCAGCCGTTTCCAGCTACAATAACCATTTACAACATTAACAATGTCTTTACTGTATTTCTGATCAATTTGATGTTATTTTAATGGACAAAAAAACGAAATTTCTAAGTGACCCCAAACTTTGGAATGGTAGTGTGTGTATGTGTGTATGTATGTATGTATGTATGTATGTATGTGTGTGTGTGTATGTGTATGTGTATGTGTATATATATATATGTGTGTATATCCCATGTAGCTCAGTTGGTAGAGCATGGCGCTTGCAACGCCAGGGTTGTGGGTTTGTTTCCCACGGGGGGCCAGTATGAAAATGTATGCACTCACTAACTGTAAGTCACTCTGGATAAGAGCGTCTACTAAATGACTAAAATGTATGTATGTACAGTTGAAGTCGGAAGTTTACATACACCTTAGCCAAATGCATTTAAACTCAGTTTTTCACAATTCCTGACATTTAATCCTAGTAAGAATTCCCTGTCTTAGGTCAGTTAGGATCACCAATTTATTTTAAGAATGTGAAATGTCAGAATAATAGAGTAGAGAGAATTATTTATTTCAGCTTTTTATTTATTTCATCACATTCCCAGTGGGTCAGAAGTTTACATACACTCAATTAGTATTTGGTAGCATTGCCTTTAAATTGTTTAACTTGGGTCAAATGTTTCGGGTAGCCTTCCACAAGCTTCCCACAATGAGTTGGGTGAATTTTGGCCCATTCCTCCTAACAGAGCTGGTGTAACTGAGTCAGGTTTGTAAGCCTCCTTGCTCGCACGGGCCTTTTCAGTTCTGCCTACAAATGTTCTATAGGATTGAGGCCAGGGCTTTGTGATGGCCACTCCAATACCTTGACTTTGTTGTCCTTAAGCCGTTTTGTCACAACTTTGGAAGTATGCTTGGGGTCATTATCCATTTGGAAGACCCATTTGCGACCAAGCTTTAACTTCCTGACTGATGTCTTGAGCTGTTGCTTCAATATATCCACATAGTTTCCCTTCCTCATGATGCCATCTATTTTGTGAAGT